ATATATATATATATATATATGTGTGTGTGTGTGTGTGTGTGTGTGTGTGTGTGTAACCCATAAATATGCCAATATATGCATTGCATTCACTGATGCATTGATGTGATGCCACGAGTGATTGGATTGCACTGCAAAAAATGCTTTTCTTTTTTGTCTTGTTTTCAGTCAAAATGTCAAAAAATTATTAAATCAAGAAGGATTTTCTTGACAAGTAAAAATTACTTTCTTGTTTTCAGAAAAAACATGTCAAAATTAAATGAGTTTTTGCTTGAAACAAGCTAAATAATCTGCCAATGGGGTAAGCAAAAGAATCTTGTTTTCTGTTTTGAAAGAAGATTATTTTGCTTACCCCACTGGCAGATTATTTTGCTTGTTCTAAGCAAATTTTGACTTGATTTTGACTTGTTTTAGACTGAAATTTTTACTTGTCTAGAAAATCCTTCTTGATTTAAGAATTTTTAGATATTTTGGCTGGAAACCAGACAAAAAATCTAAGTAAGAAAAGCATTTTTTGCAGTGTGGTCAACACTGCATTGGTGAACTGGGGATTTCTCTGACAAGTCGTTCACACACACACACACACAGACACAGACACAGACACACACACATAAAAACTCTAGATGGCGCAGTCCGATAGGTCTAACTCAATCTGACCTAATGACATCATTATCACATGGCTCAGCTAATTGGTTAGCTCCTGTATCGGTAGCCAATAAGCTTGCTGCTCAACATTCAAATATATAGAAGATTATTTTGCTTACCCCACTGGCAGATTATTTTGCTTGTTCTAAGCAAATTTTGACTTGTTTTTTCTGAAAACAAGACAATAATTTTTACTTGTCTAGAAAATCCTTCTTGATTTAAGAATTTTTAGATATTTTGGCTGGAAACCAGACAAAAAATCTAAGTAAGAAAAGCATTTTTTGCAGTGTGGTCAACACTGCATTGGTGAACTGGGGATTTCTCTGACAAGTCGTTCACACACACACACACACAGACACAGACACAGACACACACACATAAAGAATTCCCAGGCAACCCATGCAGAACGCTTGTTTATAAAATTTTCATGTTGTTGAGTGCTAAAAAGGCAACTTTTCTATCGCTTTTTCACACACACTCTTTCCACATCATGTAAGAGGATGCCCTGTTTTTATAATCCCAGTATTAACAAGAATCTCATGATAACCTATGCTAATACCTTCAAGACCATGAACTACAGCCAATAACATTACTGAATTACTTGGTAACTAGGTGTCTCAAAGAAGCTCAAATGTTCTTAAGATTTTTGTGCAAACATGAAATGGCTACTGGTTGTAATTATTAACCCATCAATACAGCGCTTAGTCAGAAAAGTTTAGTGTTATATGAACAGATGAGCCTATTCACATCTCAAAGTAAATAGGTTCATAATGCTCTGAGCCAACTCACACAATTAAATCTAAGAATTCACGAGGGAAGGGAAAAAATAAACAGGTTTAAAATAGACAGGGAACATCAACAGAAGCCCATGACGAGCTCAATTTTTAAATATTTCAGCAAGGACTTCCAAGTGAGCTATTTTCAGCTTAAATTCATAATTTAATGCTCACGTTTTTCCTCCCAGAAACCTTGAAACCTTCCTCATACTAAGAAAAAAGGAAAGAAACCAGAAAAGATTATCCAATGTTTGTCTTTTCAACAAACCAATCTTAGTACGACATTATCTATTTATAAGGACTTTCTTCCGCAGCCAAGCTACTGTTCTGAGGGAGTCTGGCAAGAAGCTGTCCTTAACAACTGAAGCAGTTTCATAAGTCTAGAAGGAAAAATGGCTGCTGTTCTTACACTCTCAGCTTTATTACAGTAGAAAGAAACAACGAGGACTAGCACATTTTGCTACAATTATGCAAATTAAACATACAGTTTATATGTGGAATCTAAAAAATCATTGGCTTGGAATATGCAGGTTTTGTATTGTCAGAGTGCTCAAACTGCTCAAGATTAAAATGTGCTCTTCTCTCTACCACCGATTCAATTGTCTATTTTGTGTACATTAGGCCATGTCATATTCATTTCATATTTGTACATCTCCATCTTCATCTTTTATACAAAGCCCTGTTTTTCTGCTTTTCCTGTTGCCTTTGTTGTAGTGGGTTGATCTGGCCTACCTATGACCTCTGTTGTGGTCTGTGTGGCTGCAATTATTCTTCATTGTATCTCGGCTCTGAGGGTCTATCTGATCCTAACCTTTGAATAATCCTAAAGCCTCTTTTTTGGGGGGTTCTCTGAATGGAGCACATGTGGTATTCATTCCCTTCATTTTGGTTTTGCAGAGCCCACAAACTCACAGCCAACATTACTGCAAGCTATAGATGCAGGGTATAGAAGCAAGACACTGTTCTGGACGAGGTGTTCAGAGGAGAACAGCTCTCCAGGGCTACAGGTCTTTACAGGGGACATTTTACAATAAGTTCTGCTATGTCTACATGATTTTGGTTTTTCCGAATAAATACACAATTTAGGCTCATTGGAAAAACATGCCTGTGGCGACATTTCTGAAAAAATTATATTATGTTGCTTGAATGATTTGCGACTCTTTCTACTTTAAATGCTCATTAAGTGGCACTAAAATTGTGTTTAATTTTCTCACAAACAGGACAACGGGAACGCCTTGGTGTTTTATTGTGTTGCTTATTGTACATAATTGTGGCAGTTTGTAAACAAATTGTCTGCTGGTTGGCGCTAAAAGGTTACTCTTCTATGGAGTTGAAAATAGCATACCACCTACACTAAACCTAACCGATACAGTTAACAAAAGCAAATGTAAGATAATAACTAATTTGCTGAAGAAACTGCTATTTTAGCTTGTTTCTACAAGTCTACAAGTTGAGCCCTTTTATCGTGACTCATGTTTCACGGGACTCCTGAACACTCCATATTGCAAGTGCAGCACTTTACCAGGTGAGCTACTGAGCAAGTTTACTACACCAGAAAAGCCCCCCGAAAATGGAGCTTGTTATGTGATGCAAACGTCAAAATGTATTATGCTTAAAATTATGCAGTATTTTTTTCAGTCATAATTGTATTGTGTAAGGAACCATGCAAAAATAAGTCTTTAATATTAATCAATAATCTGCCCTGCAATCATAATTTCTTTGAAAAAGAATAAAAGTTGTTTGTGTTTTACTGCCACTAGTGTTCATTTCAGCTGGAAACTGCAGTCAATTATATTTATGGAAGCATAGTTTTTTTGTAGTTTTGCCAAAAACGTTGGTAGATGCACATTTTCCAATATGCCTAAATTTAAGAAATTTCCAGTTTCAGTGCATTCTATAGAAGTTAGTGATTGGTTACCAACATTCTTCAAAATATCTTCTTTTGTGTTTAGCAGAAGAAACTCATATAGTTTGGAACAACTTGAGGGTGAGTAAATGATGACAGAATTTTCATTTTTGGGTGAACTGTACCTTTAATGGTGAAGAGAACACCACATTTCAAAGAGCACATGCAGGATTCATTAAGATTACAGTAAATCTGTATCCATATTTTTCACATCTGTTTGCCTTTACTACACTGTGAACTTTGGAGTGGGTGGCATATGGACAAACAGATATAGAGACAAACGTTCATTTTGAACTATGCTGCTCCTCTCAGCACGTTCACTATTGAAATACCCCACTGCCACACATTTCTAGATGTGGCTGGTGAGTCGTGATGCAGTGGCGCCTATAACTCAATCATCTCATGGTCAAAGCTATAGATTACTATTTCCGTTGCAGATTAGTCGTCATAGGAAAAAAAATTACATAACCTCGCCTCAATTTTCTATCACGTCATTTCCGTCTGAAGAGTAACTGTGAGGGAATACGCGAAACGCAAGAGCCATCACTAGCGCTCGACGGCAGGTCCTTCTTCAAATCATTCATGCCGACGAGAGGGAGAGGGTGCTTGTCACTGTATTTTAGATCTACAGTCGCAACTTTTAGTAATCCATGTATAAAGATACACATTTTTAGTTTGTAGTCGTCCTCACATGCATAGGCTGAGCCACGCGAAATAATCGCGAGCCAATCACGAACCACACCCCGGTTGTAAAGCGGCGAAAGACTGTATTTCTTTTCCAGATTGTGAATATCTTATATTGTCCACAGACATAAAAGAGACGTTTTAGCTTCCCTGTTGTTCAAACTATACGTGTTTTTTCTTCACACACCAGCGCGCAAGCCTAATACAATAGCCCTTCGCCAAGTTAAAATTCGCTCTGTGTTTCACCATATAAAAGTGTTCAGGCTCTTGCTTAAGGGTGAAGAGCACCTTGTGTTGCCCCCGGAGGTTCATCGGGTGGAGTGGGGTGACACGCTGTTGCGAAGTATGATTCATCCTCGCGCTCTGTCATGCCCCATCTCCCCGTCTGCTTTCCATGGTGCACCTGTAACTCGCCTGACCTCAAATCTAGCTAATTTCTACTTACACACTGCTGTTAAAACTAAGCTACGCAAAGCTCATCTGTTACATAGACTCCTGCTTTCTATGCAGTAGAGGCCACTGCAACCAGACGTTTTTATCCAGCAAAGGACACTTGAAGACTCACGCGTTCGTAAACTGCAAAATCACTACGAGTTTAGGGAGTTATTAATCACACGTCACGGGTAGTGAAAGGTCATGAAGCTGTGACTCAAAGGAAAGGAAAGTGTCGAAATCGTCTGTGGATGCACAAAGGAAATCGTCCAGCCCTTACTTTAGCATGGCTTGTTCCTTCTCCTCTTCCTCCCTTTGCCGAACCATCACTGCCATGATGGTTTTCCTTTCCTCCTCCGTGAGGTGACTCAAGTCCGGCATATCAGGCATGGGAGCCGGCACGGTGGGTGGGCGAAGGCCACTTTGGGGCCCTACCGAGGCGGACATCTTTTGCCCCGCTCCCAGGCGTATCTATTGGCAGTATCCCGAGCGCTGGAGCCACACCTCACGACATGGTCCACGGATAGAGCAGCGGTCTTTGAGAATAGTGCAAATCTCGCATGGTTTCAGGCACCCACAACTGTGCTTTTGTTTCTCTTCGTGCTTTTTTTTTTCAACCCACCCCTCCTCTTTTCTCGCTACCCCCACCCCCCGCCTCTCCCCTCCACCTCCAGTTACGGGAAGCCCATCATCTCTACGCCCGGAGACGACGCAAAAAGGGGGACCCCGGCATTAGCTAGCAGATCTGTGATTTCCCCCTTCACTGAACCGGGGGCTCGGTATTGGGCGACGGCAAAGGCGGAGTCCGTCTCTTGCCCACTGATCTCTCTCTCTCTCTCTTTCGTCGCTCTCAGATTAAAAAAGAAGAGTCAATGGAAATGCAGATCCGCGAGCGCGTATACCACTCTCACCCACCGACCGCACGCTTACTCATATGTGAAATGGGCAAAAAAGCATCTATATGAGAGTCATACCCCACTTTCCTTTTTCATATCAGTGTGTGTGTTCGACCGCGCACACCTTGTTCGCGTCTCTGTATTATCTGGTAATAGTTCAGTGCGCGCTCTCGTCAGGCTATTTTTAGAATCGCTCCCGCGCATCTCTTAAATACAATCAATTCGTCTGTTTTGTCTGACTGAGGGATGTCTGTAATGAAATTATCCGCGAAAGTCTCATGTGTGCATGACATAAATCATCTCTAGACATCTTTAAAAATATAGTAGGCTACTGGAGCCCAGGTGGTCTGTATAACTGTAAAATTGAATGCATAGTCGAGTTGAAACCAGGTTTTGAGAATAAAAAGAAAATCCAACAGTAATACAGTTTATACGATTAGTTATTTGGTAAAATGGAGATGATTTACATGTAACGAGTGCAAACTGTAGTTGTTTTCAGAACCCTGGACAGCGACACGTGACGCAGAACACAGTCACTCATTTCACTACACTGTAAAAAAGTGTTAGCGTGCAATTAAGTTGTTGTTTTTTGAATCATGACTGTTTACTTTTATCTTTGGACTTCTTTTTGCATCACTGAATCTTTATTTTCCTGTTTATCGTTGTAAAGCTGCTTTGAACTGTATTGTAGCTACAAATCTCTATATAAGATGACGTGACTTTTTTCCATGGACAATGAAAGGAGAAATCTTTGTAGAATCTTTATATAACCCTTTATCATACATAGAAGACAGTTCATAGACCACATCTGTCAAGCTCCAAAAGACTGCCAAAAATCTGGACTGTTCTTCAAATCCCTACTCAGCATATCAGTGCGTTGGGCCAAGTTTGACATCACTGATGACACCGCGTCATTGATTTTCACATGGTGCGGTAACTGCACATGATGCAGCAGTTTTAATATGGAGAATGGAGAATGATATTTGAGAACTGTCATGAAAGAAAAAAGTTTTCCATGAATAACGACTTATATTTCAGCCTCAGTAGAGAGCTATCATATGGACTTTAAAAATAGCGCACACATACCATGGACATTTCAGGGTGGGAAATTAACTCGCACCACCTGCAAAGTTCAGGTAGGTGTTTTTATTTATTTATCTAGTATTAGTTATTTAATTGCTATTACAATGGCAGATTATTTTTCTCAAATTGACCTTTTTATTATTTGAATATGTTCCATGAGGTACATTTATAATGCTAATAAAGCCTGCACACAAAAAGTCAGTAAACAGCCACTGTTATGATTGGCCAATGTCAGTATTGCGCTTAAGTAAATGTTTTTGAAAACAGCAAAATTTATGAAACTGTTTACTTACGATTGGTTTGCGATGCAGCTGCTGTCAGATTCAGTACCATAGATGGTATAGATGGTTGCTTCACCTTTCAACAAAAGTTTCTTTGCATACACTTCATTACACTGTGCTTCATTTTAGGGCTGCCACTAACGACTATTTTTATTTCGATTAATCTATCGACTAATTTATCGATTAATTTAAACGATTTATTTAAGAGAAAAATGTAAATGTGCAGTATTTCTGAAAAAAAAACTTTATTTTTTATTTTTTTATAAAATCAATTAATTGGAGATGCTTTTGATTATTAAAATTTAATGGAACCATTAAAATGGAATCCAGAAAATAATGAAAACAGAATTTGGTAAAGATAAAACTGTAAAACTCAATTAATTAGACAGGCTTTTGATTAATACAATTTTATTTAACCATTAAAACAGAGTATAGAAAAATGAAAATGCAAAAAAACTGAATTTAGAAATAAAACGGATTTCATAGGGCCCTATAATTATTATTATTTATTTTTTTTGGTAATAAAAATAGATGTAAGTGAACAATAGCCTTTCAAATTACTTAAAATACATCAATAATAGCAATGAGGAAATAATAATTAGTTCAAATAAAGAATCAAAAGCAAGAAATCTTATGGTTTTATTGAACAAGATTGTTAAAATACATAATGTATTATAAACAATAGAGCTAATGTACATTATGCATTACAACAAAGGCCTGCAGAGGGCACCAACGGCCTGATGATAATTTTTACACATTACTGTGCGATCTAATACTTGTTTAACATTGACCAAGCACCATTTCATTCAAATGTCCACTTAATCTTTAATATTTGTCCATTTCCTTAGGACAGAAATGCTATAGCCACTGTAATTAAATGAATATGTGGGCATCAAAACGTGTAAACTTTTTAAAAAGAGTGAGGGTTTGAGCTTTTATTTTGAACCGCTGATGACAAGTTTCTGTCCGCGTCTCCGCGTGTGTGCGCGAGTACGTGTCTATGTGTGTGCGTGTGTGAGAGAGAACGGGAGAGAGAAAACTAATAAACCCAAACTCACAACAACATGCAGAGATGGAGTTTGAGACGCTCCACACCATGTAAATGATAACAGTTCCTGTGGAACTACTGTGAACACGCACAGGGCCGGATTTACCTCTTTTCGTGACAAACGCATAGCTCAGACAGAATCATGATTTCTATTTATTTTCCACTGATTTACTGATGAGCATTAGCAGCTTCCAGCTCTCTTCCATGTGTTCTCTCTTCCATGATCGCTGCTCTGACTCAGAGGTAATAACATATTTAATTTCAGCAACATTACATGGCCAAAACACACATTAGATGGCAGGGCCGGATTTACCTATTTTCGTGACGTAGGAAAAACACATTTTTGGGCCCCCTTTCCTATTAATATAATAGACCTAATATTACCACCCAAGCAAACAAAAATATTTCTTAATCAGTGGAAACCGGTACAGAGTTTTCTATCGCAATAAGCGCTCGCGTTCAGTAAATAAAAATCGAATGTAGGTTCTTAATTTGTTTGAGAATTCAAACAAATTGCATTTCATTCCATTAATAGGCGCGGCGACGTGGCCACATAACCACTTCGGGAGTGCATTATTTCTCTAATAATTTTAATGGCCTGGAGTCACAACCACACGTCAAGACATTGTTCAGATCATTTGTTTCAAGACATTTGACATGTTTCCGTCCTGAAATCTCGTGGGTGTTGAACTAGCTATTTTTTACTAACCTCATCCCAAATCTTCCGTTGCAAATTCCAAAACGTCATTTTAGAGCTAATAACAGAGGCTTGAGCCATTGATATGCAGGCTAACGCAGTTATTAGAGAGAGAGAGAGCGAAAGAGAGAGAGAGAGAGAGAGATTAAGAGCGTGTGAATAGGCTTGCGTCTGTGCATATTCAGCAGCAGCGTCAACTAATAGCGAATCTTTGAACTGCTTCAAGAACCTCGGTACTGAGAAATGTCTTGTAGCTTTTCAGCTGCGAAACTCTTTTATTGATAAATTCATGGGACAGCCGCAGCGCTGATGACAAGGCTTAATTATGATTTTTACATGGATTTAATATATCATGCAGCCTTGGGAAACAGTCTGATAATGTGTTTTGTGGATTCTCGTCCGTGAAATGCGCCATTTCCGGTATTTTGCCGGTTAGTCGAAGCTAGCAAAATGAAGTCGAGGATTTTTAAAAATCGAATAGTCGAATAAAATCGACGAATTGCGACAGCCCTACTTCATTTACAAAACAATCTGCTGCCAAATGCTCTGAACAAACATCTAATCCTCTAACACGATGCAGAATTTACCTGGGTTTTTTACCCAGGTAAGTTTGGGTTTAGTTTGAGCAAACTCAAACGAGTTTTCGGGTTCAAGAATGTGAGTTGGTTTTGAGCTGGTTTCATCACCATAGTAAGTTATGCTACATGGCTACCCTGCTCTGGAGTTTTTATTCTGAGTTAGAAATCACAAACCCAAACTGGTCCAATCAGCTCTGAGCAAAGTGACATATATCTCATGCAATAAAGCCACTCCCCCTGTATCTCTTGCTTCAAATTAAAGCAGTTCAAAACATTTTTAGAGACAAAATTGCCGGTCTTTTGCTAATTATTTATTATATTCATATTATATGAATTATAATTATTTATAATGCATATATTCAAATAATTATTATATTAACTTGCAATTAATATTAAACTTTGCATTTAAATTAATTTAAATATATACATATAAGTTTTACTATATAAAGCTTTTAAAATGACTAAATTTAGGTTTTCTTTTGAGCTCTTTGTGAAACTACATAAATTAATAAATTCAGCTGATTCATAATTCATTATATTTTATAACAACATCTCTTAATCTTAATCTACAGCAGAGAAGTGAATTGCGCCAACTCTCGCGAGAAGTGAATTAAACCATGCTCTCATGTTCTGTGTGATTGGCTGCTTGCTGCACGTGTCACACTTTCAGGCGCTCCAGAATTTATATATAACGTTGTTAGATAGATTATATGAGCGTTGTACAGTGTTGCCAAGTCCGCGGTTTTCCGCGGAATTGGGCTACTTTAAAACTGTTGCCGTGGGTTGTTTTCATAGGTTGTTTTTCATGTCCACGGGTTGAAGCGACCTCAGCCCCTGGAATGCGAATTTACCAAGGGAAAAAACGTGTATTTTACCCCCCGGAACGCAATTTTTAATGGGTGACCCCCCTCGAAACGCGATTGGGCTAGTTTTGAGTAGCAATTGGGCGGGTTATGTTGTGAAAACCTGGCAACCTTGGTTGTGAACCCACTCCTGCTCTATCCGGGTTGGATTTGTTTGGTACTCTGGATTTGTTTGGTAATCCAGCTAGCTTCATGCAACAGGTCACTCGAAACAGTTTTTTTTTTTTTATTGAATCACTCAACATTTTACACTCCAGAGGATGAAGACAAGAAAAAAAGATTACAATGAAGAAAATTAGACAAAGAACTGGAAATGTTTACATAATACATTTAACAGCTTTCTGATTTCAAAATTAGAAACAAATGCAAATTAAATAAATTATGCAAATATATTCGCCCATGTGACGTCACATATCCCACAATATCCAAGCGAGACATTTTCTGAACTTAGTTAAATGCTTTATATAGCCTTTAACGAGGCGGACATTTTACGCTGTGAAACCTACAGGATGTTGAAAAATGCAGATGTTTCAGAAACTCTTTGGCATTCGATTCGATTACGTTTTGAGGATTGCAAACAGAGCAGTAAACACATATGCTAGTGCTTCAAATACTCAAATATGACAAATTCACACACACTCATGGCTGGAGGGCAAAACATACCCTGATGACTGTTATGGTGTATAACAAAGAGTGCAAGGCTGACAACTTTTGCTATACATAGTTACTTTACATTTGCTAAGTATAGTAGGTGTATGTTAGTATATGGAACACAATCGTATCGTCTACTTCTTTATAAGAATGTCAATTCGTTTAAAATAACAAGTAGCCTAGCTGTGGAAAAGGATGGTTATTAGCTTATTGTTCTTCACAAGATGTCACTCTCTTCTATACTGCTCAATGAAATATTGTATCCGAATAGCAAAATAAACATTACATAAATACAGCAGTTACATACACTTAAGTGCACTTCTAAATGACTACAAGAACTAACGCAGTGTAGCACTAGCAGAATAAAAAAAAAAAAAAAAATCTATCTTGCGCCCTTTGTTGATGGGACACGGCATTACACAGAAATATACCCCATTAACTTAAATGATTTTAGCAAATGGCTGCAATATAACAAAGAGTGAAAAATTTAAGGGGGTCTACTTACTTTCCGTACCCACTGTATATATATATATATATATATATACATATATAAATTAAGTAGCTTTCAGCTAGTTGCCAAGGCTACATTTCTCATTTTCGCTTAAAGTTACCACTGCGGCCTGGCTTCACAGACAGGGCTTAGACTAAGCAAGGATTAGGCCATAGTTCAATTAGGACATTTAAGTCATTTTTATAACCGTGCCTTAGAAAAAAACATTACTGGTGTCCATCTTGAGACAAAACAAAGGCACCGATATATTTTAAGATCAATCAGTGCAAGTTTCTTTCAGTTGAAAAAGCTCAGACTTACATTTTAGTCTGGGACTAGGCTTAAGCCTTGTATGTGAAACCGGGGTTTAAAGTTCTAACAATAATACTATATCAATTATACAGAGAGAAAAAAAAAAAAACACTTAAATGCTCTGCACCTTTTCAAAATCTTTTTCTGGGCATCCAGCTTTGCTTGTGAGCATGACAGGACCATTTTAAGTTGATTGTTGAGTCTTTGCAACTGAGGAAAAATTATATGAAAACTTGTAACTGCATTTACATTTTGATACACACACTGCCTATTGGGTGTTATTAAAGTGACAACTTACTTCTTCTTTACCAACCGCTAATAAGACTTCAGGACTTGTTGTCAGCACTAGTAGGAAAAAAAAAACATAAGCTGTCTTCACAAACTATGCAATTAAAATATGTAATCTTGAATACTGAATAAAACCCTTTTTTTATCTTGCCCCTTTCATCTAAATTGAAATAGTACATAAAACAATAGATGATAGCTTACATTTTGGTTCCATTTCTTGCCATTGCTCTAGCTCAGATGTGATTGCAATCAGGCGATTCACTGCCTGCCCACCACCAAAAAAAAAAAAAAAAGATGATTAAAGTAATTTGTGAATATTTTTGTCTGAACTGAAAAGCAACGTTAATATGCACAGCAAATTTTTTAACTCAAAAGTAGTGAAAGGAGAAGGACAAACCTCATTTGATTGATCATCATTAGCCTCTGTATCTGCCAGAATTATCTCATTTTGAAGCTGAAAGATATAATAATTGCTTACTGTATGTTGACAAGGCAGTTGCATCCCAGCTGCATTCCGTCTGCAGCTGCTGTCTAAAAACATTCACAACATCAAAAAGCTAAATGTAAGCAGGTGAACCTACATTAAGTGAGGCCCCAGTCAAAATGAATCAATGAGGCCCTTCTACATTTTTTTTTTTTTGTTAAAATATCTTCATTACCTAGAGATATAATTATACAACATACAAAATGTAGTCAAAACACATCTAACAGAACATAATTTTTTTTAATTTTATTTTTGACACGTTAAAGTGCTTATTTTTAATTAAAAATGTCTTTATAATAGAAAATAGAATACAATACAATCTTCAAGATACAGTGCAATCTTCATATTTAGAAATAGATGGTTAGCATCTTAATCTTTATTTTAATATTAGCAGCAGCTATTTACACTACGTAAATACTAGCGATGGATGCAATTAGATACTATTTACACTAAGCGAAAACAGAGTATTTTCTTAGCGATATATGCTAAGTGCAAATAACCATATTCTATTTACACTATGTAAAAACAGCAGTATTTTATTGGCAATAAATGCAAAAAGTAGTTAGATGCCATTTATACTTAGTGCAAATAGTGGCAGATAGCAGCACTATTGTATTGTAATACTTTATAAAACAGTATGCAATAACATATTGAATGAAAGTTATCATATTTATTAAAATTATTAAATGGATGCTGCCCTATTCGGACAATACATCCCTCACTACACCAATCCCTAACCCTACTGATAAACACCTGTGAGGAACTTTATTTTCCACTTTTCGAAAATAAAAACAGCAGTATTTTATTGGCAATAAATGCAAAAAGTAGTTAGATGCCATTTATACTTAGTGCAAATAGTGGCAGATAGCAGCACTATTGTATTGTAATACTTTATAAAACAGTATGCAATAACATATTGAATGAAAGTTATCATATTTATTAAAATTATTAAATGGATGCTGCCCTATTCGGACAATACATCCCTCACTACACCAATCCCTAACCCTACTGATAAACACCTGTGAGGACCTCACTTTGAAACCCGCAGAAAATTTTTCCTATTTTTTTAATTGGAAAAAAAAAAAAAAACACCTTTCCGATCTGATATGTGATGGGAAAAGGGAGAAATATTCGTTCAGCAAAAGGCGGATTCGACCTGGGGTCAATCTAGTCAAAAGTTTATATTGTTGTCAAACGATTAATCACGATTAATCGCATACAAAATAAAAGTTTTTGTTTGCATACTATATGTGTGTGTTCTGTGTATATTTATTATGTCTATATAAATACACACATAAATTTATTTTAAAAAATATTTACATGTAGTTACATGTCTATATTTATATTAATATAATTTATATTATAAATAAATATATTTAATATATAAACATAACAT